AGTCTACAAAACTCTAGCACTAAGCTACAAGCCGGAAGGTCGTGGGATCGAATTCTGATGAGGTCATTGGAATTTGTTTCAATTTACCTCATTTTTCCAGCCGCACTATGGCCCTGGGTTCGACTCAGCCTCTAATAGAAATGAGTACCAGGAATATCCTTGGGGGTAAAGGGCGGGTGGCGCTTAAGGCTGACAACCTTACCGCCATCTATGAGCCGATTGTCTAGAAAATGTGGGAACCTCAACATTTCATAAACATTTCCATGGTCTGTTACAGGGATACCTTTACTTTCTTTACTACAAAACTCTAATCAACCTACTTTCCTTATTCTGAAAAAAAAATAAAAGTAGACTTATGAGATCACCATGCTGTCTGTGTCTGTATTTCTATTCCCCCTATCGTTGCTACGCACCGGCTCGGTAAAAACGTTACCGATGCAACGAATACATACGCAACAATAGACGAACTGTTGTAGACGAACTAGGTGATCCTTGTCGTATCAAGGCTAGTAGGTGACAACGAATAACTTCTTTGCGCCACTCAGGGAGCTTCTTGTTTTTGCTTGTCACTTTATTTGGGAAGGAAGAATATAAACTGAGTGTGCTTACGAACAAGTACTGAAGGAGCTACGTTGATCTGAAGGGGGCGAAATAACAGGGGGTATAATATTTACTGTTACACTGATGTTATTAGGATGCTTGAGAGATGCCGTATCGAAATTTTGGATCGCAAGCCGCAAGGATACATGGACTGAGACGGAGGATAATAATAACACGGATCTTAAAGAAGAATGTTTAGATTCATCTGGCTCAGGATAAATTTCAATGCTGCGCTTTTGTGAATACGGTGAACAACTTTCTGGCTCCAAAGAAGCGAGGAATTCTTATCATATCATGGAGTTTGTCAAGCAGTCAATGATTCAGTCAGTGAGTCGGTTAATTTGTGGGTTGTTTTACGATTCTATCTTTATTTAAACCACATAGCTTCCAATGATAAGACGATTAATGAACTGTGAATTGCAAAGGACTCGAAGGGATGCTGTCATTTCCTAATCGGGGTACGGTAACAGCATTCGCCTAGGGGGACAGGGTAAAACCGCGAAAACCCTGTCAGTATATCTGGTTTCTCTGCCGAGAACACCTCCCGAATACATGTCAGAGTTTTAACTACAAGTAGTCTGCTTGGCTGCTTGGTTATTTGGTTAGTTAGCTACTTAATTAAATAGATATTTTTTGAAAGAAACAAAATATCCTTTGTATCTTTAGAACGTTGAACGTGTCGTTCTCCAATGACTGAGAAGATTGAAAGAGCCTCAGATATTTTTCCATGGACGCTAGAGGGCATAACAAAGTAACCAGAAGAAATGTCTTCTAGAAACCCCGGTTAGGCTGCGAGCTGGCCGCCACGTACACAGTGAACTACTGCCCAGCTGGGACCTTTCCGCTCTTATCAGAAAGCACAAGATGATTGTGTAGGAAAAGAAAAAGAAAACAAGATGATGAAGAGAGATTAATGATTGATTGATGGATTCGTAGATTACTTAACGAAGCTGCTTCAACTCTGCATAACATATAGCGTTGAATTAAACATGGAGATTATCTTAAATACCTGATAGTTAAGAATTTATAAGGCGGTAGTTATGGCTAAGGAAGACGTTATCCCTCCTTGCGCATGAAGAGTCTGAGGAAAACTGTGAAACATCTCAGTCAGGATAACCAGGAACCCGATCGAGATACAGACTGGGTATAAATGTAGTGCGTTTCCACTAAGCTAACCGGCTCGGTGAAGTTACTGATTGTTCCTTCAGTTACTTGATAACAGAGTTCAGCTGCACATGTTATGGCGCCTCAAAATCTGGGCGATTTTGAATAATGAGTTAAGAAAAACACGTGGAATGAAGTGGTAGTCAGCTTTCTAAGGTTCTTACTAACATTCTTCTAGAGCAACTGAGGAAAACCAAAAGAGGCCATCTTGTACAGGATAGTCAGCTTTCGGGCCAAGATAGGAATGCCAACTCTGTGACGGCAACAGAAACGATAAGAAAGATAATAATCATAATCATGAACTGTGCAAAATTAACGCGTTCCTATTTCATTAAATGATATTCATCATTTTTAATGTAAGTCACTTTCATACCTATGTCATACAGAAATGTGAGAACCGCAAGAAAACTTGTGCCATGGTATTCTTACAAGGACACAGCACCTCGAACAGTGATCTTCTTGGTGGAAGAGCTGTGTACTAAGCAGGATACGAACTGTAAAGTTGACAAGAGACGTGTAAGCACAGTAGTGACACTCCAGTGCCGGCAGTTGCATCAGTGGAGGAAATCTATTGACTTTCTTTTCAGCAGAAATGTTAAATTGGAGTTGTAAACAATTGTGAATCTAACAGTGCATTTCAGTCGACTAAAACTCTAGAATCCACACAATCTTGAGTGATCTCAGGACCCACATACCTAAATACGGAGGGAGATAACACTGTGCAGTCCTTGTTACATAATAGTCCTTCGAATCCTAATTGAATAAAAGAGTAATCCTGACACAGGCCACCGTGTGTCATAATTGTATCCGTTATTTGAACGAAGGGATCCGGTCTGTCCGTCCGCCCGCCCTGGAGTATTATCACTGAAGATACTAGACAGATTGAGAATAAATTTAGTATTATGACCTTATCTGAAACTTATTGGGAACATTTAATGTTGGTTGGAACAAGCCCAACGAAACACTTACTTTACGTAAAACTCTAATCTAATTACATTCATTTCCTCAGGAAATAAATCTTACGGCGGCACAGAACACAGACTCCATTTAAATCATTAGTCGCACAGTGCTGTCGGACATTTGGCTGTGTAGCCTTTCACGGTTTCATGAGATGAAGAGAGGACTTCATTGTGAAGTGCAAATTATATGTAAAATGTTTTCCCATCTGACGAGTAGGCCTAACAGGAATGTACAGGACAAGTAGCAGGATCCTTGATTCATATTCAGTAGGTCCCGGGTTCAAGACTAGAAGCAGAGGCCGGCTGTTCTTGGGTTTTCCATCGTGTTCTTCAGTCCTCGCACGCAAGTCCAGGAACCATGACATCCACATCCTTTCGAATTCATCATTCATTAATCATCCCACCATTAGATGCTACACCGTCACAACTACTGACATCGCCCCAAGATGTGCTACAAATAAACAAATAAATGACGTATGGCGAATAATTGATTATCTGCAGGAAGAATAAGACTGCAAAAGTGTAGCCTCAAGAGGCTTGTTCCGCGAACATGTTAACATCCATGCCTAAGTATTTATTGCGATATTTTAATCATTTATTCAGTTACGTTCAACAGCGTATTTGTGACCTTATATAAAATACTATTTTATTTAAATGTATATTTATATAAGTGTAGAATTATAAATATGCCATTCACAGTGGCCGCGCGGTCTAAGCCACGAACCGTCTTCCTCCGCTCGAACACTGGAGTCGTGGATGTAGGCAGAGGCCTTGCGATGGGCTGATCCCCCGTCCAAGGAGTCCTACCGATTGTGTATAGGATTAAGAAATTGAAAAAGCTGCCAAGGTCCAAAGGGCTGTACAGCCAGAGAGAGAGAGAGAGAGAAGAGAATTATAAATTCCGGAGGTAGGGCGGCTCTTTTAGGTATTGTTGAGACTAAGAGACTTTGGTAATCTTCTCGTGTGTTCCGAAAGCCACTATTCGTGGCTGAATATACAAGTTCGGAAATGTACACATATCCTTAAAATATTAGTTTAATTGTGTAAGACAATGTAACATTTACGGGAACACTGTATCTAGCATAAAACCTGTGTTGTATTCTTCTCCACGAAACTGTCCGAAATATTTTCGCTTCTGTAAATATTTAACATTTTGTGATCGGCATACTGGCAACAATGCACGTTGGTCTTTATGTAAATTGTAAGATACTTCTGCCTGATTGTAACCAAAATCAGAACATTTCAAGAAATTTTAGTAAAACTCTCTAGTGTCAAATTTCTCGAAAATCTCTTCAGCGATTTTCGAGTCGTGTCATGCATAAGGAAAGATCTCAGTAGTCGCTCCGCGAGGTTGTTGGGAACACATGTAATGCTTGTAATTTGATTTGATCTGCGACAATAGATTTATGTCTGAAATAAATTAGCATCAAGGCCGATACGGTGTACAAAATCGTAACGAAAGCACTAGAAAAATAAGTGTACTCCGTGGGAGAACCTTTACATTTTTGTTTAAACAACTACCCTCCCATCACCTGTCCACTTTCATCCAAACAGTACTGCGCCGTGTGGAGTCTCTTAATACTTACACCGTTTAGCGTATTTCGAAGGCAACAGGCGAAATTTTTCGTTTGACATAACTTGCAGTTTTCCTGGCCTGACATTAATATTCTGCACCGGTATTTCTACCGTCACATCGCCACGTGTGTCTGATAATTTCCAGAGTCTGTGGACGAATGTGATAATCACACAGCTGTTTATTCCTCTATAGCTCAGAAAGGGAGATTATTACAGATGCAAGAGAGAGGTCACGACATCCCGAAACTGATATTTCTCGTGTTATAAAGAGCAAGTAACTGGGAAAGTAAGAGCAAATAAAATTAGCTAGACAAGGAACAAATTTGTCGCATGTCCACACATGTACCACATCAAACAGCTCGTATGTGAACGTGTAAGAATTGGGTTCCTATTATGCAGTTAAAAATTAAAATTATTACGGGCCTCAATGATAAATAAACTGCAGGAAACATGGTATTGTTGGTTTTTAAAAATACGATTTATAAATACCGTATTATAATTTTAACTCTGGGATTTATAACGGAATTTCCTAAAAAGATAGTAGTAAGTCTTGTTCAATTGCATCATATCTGTTTCGTCGCAAGGTTTATAGCTGGTCCTGGTGTTGACATCAAAGTTACAGAAGTCGTGTCGCAGGACGCCATAATTATTGCGCGTACGGACTAAAAGGGTCCATGTAGCAACTGATTCTTGCGCTCTTACCTTGCACCGCAGCCGCTGCATTCTGGACGATGACCGACGCTCCCTGGAGTTGCCCAGGAGTCACCACAACACTAGACAGCATCACCTGCTGTTGCTCATTCATCAGGTCAAAGGTCACCTACAAGTTGCCTCTTCCAAACCTTGCCGCCACATGCAATTCGTCGCTTTCTTCATCCAACCAATCGCTCGGACAAAGAGCAAGCATACTGCCTCGACTGACGAGACACCTACCTCATTATCATATTACTAGCATCTTGTGCGCGCGCACTCTCTTATCAGCAGGTCGTGTACAGAGTAGACACTAGTAGGATAATCAAACACAAAACTTTTCTGTTTCCAGTATTCTTTTTTTGATTTGAATATAGGTTACTATGAACACTTTCCTGTAATTTTATTTATATAAAGATACGAAAACGAGAACGCAAGCAAAGTCGCTTTTGCGAAAGTTCCTGGTGTGTGGAAGAAACGTTTCAAGCACTTCGTACGTTCCTATTTTGCAAGTCACTTGTCAAATAAAAACAGCGAGAGTGTTTGTTAATAATCTCTGATGAAAGAAACGTCCTGGTGCTTCCATCAGTGTGTACACGTGGCTCTGATATGCATGAAGTCCCCTGAAAAATAAGAGTCTTGATTCAGTGGGTTTCGTCTTGTCCCTTCTGTACCGCTGTTCTTCTCCAAAGTTTTCTGTTGTATGCATATACAAATTATTAGTAATGTTCATAATGTTATATTCCAGCATCCGGTTACACTGCATAGATCTGACTGAGGATATTTTGTGCCGTCTAAGTCCAATGTCGTTCACTATTTCTTTGTATCCTTTTATTGGACACTACATGTTTCGGCCTAACTGGCCATCTTCAGCTGCTCACTGTAATGCACTGCATTGCAGCCGATGGCCTGTCCCGGCTTACCTTATTCTACAAAGTTCTCTTTTTCTTTCGGGCCTATTTCTCAGTCATCATAATTATCTCACTCTGAAGGTGAAATAGCTTGTAGATCTCTCCCTACGAGTTCCAGATTTCTCATCACTATAACTTTCGGAGTGAGATCTTCACGAAGGTCGGTAGGACGAATTAACTCCACCTCGCTTCGACCAATGATTGTGGTGTACGTTAAGAAAGCAGGTACTCTTCAAGCAACCTGATATGCAGTTGGCAGGCTCTTTGTTGCTCTCCCAACAAAAATCCGCGTTCGGGTAAAGAATTCCCAGACGTTATGGGTGAACAATTTGAAGGGTTACGATACTGAACCGCATGACACTGTTGCTTCTCCACACCATTTACGTACACGTAAAAGATGAATCGGTCCTCGGCTTAAATACCTTGGTCATGAAGATGCATGTGTGAACAGTGGCAAAGCTGTACGATTTCTTAACCTCGACTCCAAATGGAAGTGAGTGACCAATTAAGCGCCCATGATCCTTCAACTGACGATAGTCATTGGCTGTAAACATGGTGCCTCTGCCGGGAATCGAAACTCCGGACATCCAGTCCATAGACAGTCAAAAAACATCTTTCTTCTGTCCATTACTTAGTATGCATTTCTTCTTTCTTCATAAGTACAAGACCTCAGGCTCTAGAGGCGAGGCCGTGACTTAGTCAAGATACCAGTCAGCCTGACTGAGGGTTCCGCGGTCAGTCTCAGTTCCTGCGGGCTAATTTCGGGAGTGTAGCTCTATTAGGCCATGACCTCTTCCCTCTACTCGTCTCTCATCCTACGGTCCACGTCAATTTGAAAGCGTCGTTCAACAGCCCAAGAAAAAAGTAACAGGCCATTGCTTTTCTGTGTTGCCTGACCTCGCTCTCAGTGTCCATACATGGTACAGTTGGTGATATGAGAATTGGCAGGGGAAACCGGAGTACTCGGAGAAAACCTGCCGCAGTGCCTTTTTGTCGATAACAAATCCCATATGACCCAGGATAGAACCCGGGTCGCCGCGACTAACCACCCGAGCTATGGGCCTGTCGCCATTTCTTTTCCACACGCACATATATCGGGGGTCGTATTCATTATCTTCAGGGTTCTATATCCTGTAACCCAGCGCTCGGGAGTCCAGATTACTAAAAGCTGCGTCTTCTGAAAGAGAAAACAAAAGACAAACTACACGAAACAATGTATGGAAGTAGGTTTGGTATGTTGTCCACACTTACGTTGTTATACACTTCTTGCACGAAACAATAACATCACTAAGGCCTATTCACACTCTAGGTAGTGACGTCGGCGAACAGAGAAAATATTCTCAAAGTATGTTTTAGCAGGTATTTTCACATCTTCAGCCATCGGCACGGGGCGCCACCCATGTCGGCGCAAGGAGACCTGTAGTATTGTGTAATGCAATTGACTGTGGCAGGCCAATGTGAATTCTCAAACAAAATGTCGGCCCACTAATCGGTGAAGCTACGTGTGCTGTCAGGAGGTTCTGCTTGTTTGTTCATCAGCATATTTCATCTGAAATTACTCCTGCATCTAAATTAAACTTTACACGTGAGATTTAAAATTAAGTTTATTTCAGTCCAATGTGACATATATTTACTTCACCACTTCAGCACTCTAACATGGTTCGATTCTTAATGAATCATCATCGGAGGTATACCACTACGATCGGGAACCCACCAATACGTAAATGTTTTTATAAGACTATATACACTTAGAACATTTGTGATGCTCGCTATATGCAGTTGTTCATTTTTCCATAAACTTTTATAATAAGAACATTCTTGAAGTATATTACTTAGAAGTGAAGTAGTTGCAATCACTTCCATAAAGAATAGTTTAAAAATGTAATTTTCCACTGCACTGTATATAAAATTCAATTTGGTTCACCACACCAGCCTTCCTTTACGTTAAAATTATGTTATGATGTGTGTATAAACTTATTTTTAAGTTAGGAAATTTGTTCGTGAACCGATATGGGTCGTGTTTTATATTCCTTGGTAGTGGATATGTCGTCTGTCCCTGTTGGTGATGTGTTCTTGTTTTTACTGGTGTAGTTTATATGCGTGCTGTGTTGGTTTAAATTTGTTGAACCTATTTGATTTTGTCCGAGATAAACAAAACTTACAAGAAGCTCAAATCTAACTTATTTCATCTTAAAAGTGACTCATCATTTAAACAGCCAATATAAAAAATGCATAACTACATGCATATGTTTAATGTGGGTCTAACATATATTTAAAGGAATGCGGGAAAAGCAATGTAACCTTCTATGCAAAACTTATCTACACTGCTGATTAGCATTGTCAAGAATAGAATCTATGAATATATTCATTGTGGTAGATCTTCCCTTAATTACATCTGTTAACAACAGGTTTTAACCTGTAATAAATGAACACCGAGGCAAAGAAGGGATGCAAAGAGAAAAATCTGAAACTTTGTGATTATTGTGCTCTTAGAAAGTATAAGGAAATCTGCTTATTTGGTATTTTTACTTATTTTTATGTACTACATATGTCTTGTAAGTATGAACATGATACCACAAAAATATGTTGCACTTTCGTAGAATGTTTCTTAATCTGAAGAATTAAAATTATTTGAAAAATGTTTCATTTAATACCAAGTATTAAGAGATTCCAATCTAATACACATAATATTACAATACATATATTGTGACATGAAGCCTGAACGCCGGAAGTGTGCAGTCAGAAAAGCACAGCAGAGCCGAAATCCATTGTTATGCAACGGCTTGTTAAAAGAGGTTTCCGGGACAACCAGCTGGAACAGGTAAACACGGCGGTATTACAAGTGTATCAGGAACAACGGATTCGTGAAACACAGAAGTGGAACTGTTGGTGGCGGCGTTCTTTACTCGGTGACCTTGAAGCTAGTTCGGTCCGAGATTCAGAGAGCCAAGTAGAATTCGAGAGAGAGAGAGAGTGCCAGAGGACTGAGGTTTGAGGGTGGACTAGTAAGCAGCGTTGAAGAATTCATTTTGTGTGTTACAATTACCGCAATCCTCAGAGTGTTGTAATTACCTGTAGTTACGCGTGTGAATATCCAGTAAATCGATTCGCCAATCCAAACTCCGCCTACAAGTCGCTAATACACGTGGCATGTCTCAGCACCTAATCCCATATTGGGGCGGTTACGCTAAATTCTTCATTTGTTTTAAAAATATTTCAGTCATTCTAGCGAAGCTGTGATAAGGATGAGATGATAGTGTAGGCCTACACACATGTTCCCCATCTAATGTAAACACAGAGTGAAAGAGGCTTATTCTTTTTTGGCACGTGTCGGCGATATAAGAAAATTTATGCATTTTTCTTTTTGCACCTTGCCTTCCGCATGAAGAGAGACTAAAGTGAATGGATTCTTGCAGTTTCGCGAGTTCAGCTGTTAACGGAAATTTATTTAAAACACTGTCTTCATCATGATTGCTTTTATTTTTCACGTCTTTTTGCGAACTGAGCCTCCTTATTACTCGTTTCCACATCAGAGATAAACAATTCTCTAGCTTCATCTAGCGATGCTTTATTAAATATTTATATTTCATAAAGTCGAATGACTCTGTGACTACGAACAGTGAACTGAGAAGAGCAGGGGTGGAAATGACCTGACCTAAGTGAGGTACTATCCCAGAACTTGGCAGGACGGACTGAAGTAAAACACGAACAACCTCACTCAAGATAGCCAGCCACTACACCGGAGAATTCAGTCAAAATGAACACCTTGCTTCCATACCGATCCTAAGCCGTATACGAAGTGTCTGCCTTCAGTATTTTACGTAAGAAGGACACTGCATGCAGACGGGCTGTTGTATTCGCACTGTTAATGGAATGGGCGATTTCTCTGGAACTGGATACAGCTAGCATGGTACAAGTATCTATATACTATATTTACGTTCCATTGGGTTTTACGGGGCTCTTCCCTAATACATTTCAAAGCGGAATGTCGTTTTGTGGGGGCACGCGGTAGCATAGTTGGTTGAGGCACTGTGCTACAAGCCGGAAGGGCGCGGTTTCCATTCCCAACGAGGTCATTGGAATTTTCAATTGACCTAAACCTTCCAGCCACACTATTGCCCTGGGGTCGACGCCTCCTGTAACAGAAATGGGTACTAGGAATATTCTTGGGGGCAAAGGCCGGACGGCGCGTGAGGCTAACAATCTCACCGCCATCTGTTAGCCTACTGTCTAGAAAAATGTGGGAAACTCAACATCTCACAACCCCATGGGCCTCCACGGCCCG